TTTTTATTTTATTTATTTGTTTGTTTAAGTTTCTTGTCCGAAGCCAGGGGCGATTCTAGAATCTGACCTTTAGGGGTGCTTAGCCCCCAGTGCTGATAATGACTCTTGGTTTGAACAATGTGGTGGCCATTGGTGTCAGAAGCATTCATAATGTGGAGGAGGGGGCACACTGGTGGGGGGTCTGGGAGTCCTCCCCCACAAAAATTTTAATAAAGTAGATGCCATTTCCTGCATTCTGGTGTATTTTAATGGAGTGTTAAACATCTATGTTTACCTACATAAGTGAACACTTGCTATAATATAAACCCTCCTTTACATTACACAACCTAATAAACGCTTTGTACAAAATCAGTTCAGTGTTAACTCTTTCATTCCACCTTTATTTAGACAGGTTAATCCCATTGAGCCTCGAGGACTCATTTACAAGAGAGACCTGATTTGATTTGAGACTGATCATAAACAAATACTAAACATGTGCAACCAGAAGTTGCAACATAGATACAAAATATGCAAAACAAATCACAACTAGCTTTTAGCATTAACCTTTAATTTAATCATTAAGCATACAATGTAATTATAACAGTTACCTTCATACAGGCGAGCATGTGGTACTTCCTGTTTATCATTGCTGCATTCAGCTGCTCATCAGGTCGGCCGCAGGACTTTATCATCTTTTACATTTTTCCAGATTCTGTTTAGTTTTGAAAATAGAATAAACTGTATTCCACACTAAAGTAGGGCAATTCAACTCAACTGCTCAGGGGGCCACAGTTACTGAAAGCCAGCAGCTCAGGGGCCGGACATCAAGCAATTAAAGTCATTATGTGAATAAACCAATTATTACAATGACCTTTTAAATGTGTTTATTTTGTTGCATTGAATCATAAATTATATAAACAGAACCCAAAACCCAAACCCAGAACCGCCTAAATAAATTAATTAATTTAAAAAAATGTGGTTTTACTTTTTTCAGGGGTGCTGAGTTAAAAAGAGGCTAACATTGCCACTGTTCGAAGCAGTGCAGAGTGATGGAGGGAGCAACTTTATCGACTATCAAGAGCAATGGCAGAGCAAGGGGAGGCCAATGGTGGCCTTGGCCCCTAAAGTTTAATCTTCGGCCACCTCAATCATACTTTTAACCAGATATAGGCAGGGTTCCACTAATCCTCTTACATAATGAGGAAAATCACCTAGCAGGGAGACAAGTGAGTGTGGGAAATTAAAGGAAACTCCAGAAATGTATCACCTCCTGTTTTGACATAATCTCTGCTGGTGACATTTCTAGGTCTGGTTGGTGGTACAGTTCACATTGTACAAAATGCACTAAAGTATATTTCCAAGTGTAAAAATAGGGGGGGCAATTGGGGTGGCTATAGAGACACGTTTCTGGTGGCAGCTGCCACTCTGAGCCACCCCCTGGAGTTGCCACTGCACTCTTTATCTAATGAAAGTGGATTTATGCAATGATAGAAACTGCACATATACATTGACCCTTTATTGTCTTTTGGGGAAAAATCAGCCAAGCATTTATTTTTGTCCATGCTTTCATTTATTTATTTATTTATTTGGGTGCAGTCAATAACCACAATTTTTTTCTGACAAAGCCTACATTTTTTTTATAATTTTGGTATCATGTTTTCAAATGCTCTCATAACATAACTTTAATACACTCTCATATTCTGAGGGGGAAAATTGGCCACATTAAAATACAATGTAAATTTTTAATTCTTCTATCAGCTGCTCTCGTCCTCAGGGGTCACCACAGCGAACTAACTTGCATGAATATCCTAATGCATGCTCAATAATCCAGGTAGAAAAATCTTTTTAAAACAAAGTTAATTCTGGTCCTCTGGACATTCAAAAAACAAAACAAAATAATTTGGATGAAAGACGAAACATTTCTACAATTTTTTTTGTTTTGTTTTGTGAATGTCCGGAGGACCAGACTTAACTTTTTTAGATAACTCGCATGAAGACTTGGCAATTGTTTTTACGATGAATGCCCTTCCTGACGCAACCAAAGGCCCCCGAGCTGCCACAGCCCTCTGTGTGGAGCAGGGGGCTGCCACCTGGGGCACCCAGGGGAGCAGATGGTGGGGGTTAAGGGCCTTGCTCAAGGGCCCATTGTGGGGCGTTTTGATGATGTCGATCCCGGGGGGGGGGGGGGGTCGAGCCGACGGCCCTCCGATCACAGGCTCACCTTCTCTAACTTCTGTGCCACCGCGCCCCCTAATTAAAATACTCTGTAAATACATCTTTCAATCCCATATTTATCTTAAAATAATGCATTCCTCTTGTTTTTTTTATGTTTACCTCTATCTTTATGCTTTACATATTTATATTAATCCACTAGGTGGTAATCCAGTTTTATATTTGAGAACCTCTGTAAATATCTAGAGAAAGCTCAACTCACCCCAGAAGAGGAACTCTTTTTTTTGCCTGTCATCTCGTTCAACAACATTGTTTTCATTTGGATGTAAAGAGCAAAAACTAACTTGAAATGTGCACAAATATTTATTACTAAAAAGCTGTTTCACATGCATGCAGGCTGCAGATTTTGATGCTCCACAGCTAACAGCAGCTGACTGCTGCTGGCTTCCCCCAAAGCAGGACGTCATTAGTGGGGGTGCATTGTGCTTCTGCAGCTCGCAGGTCTGTAAAAGCAAGAACTGCAAGAAAATGGGTAGAGTTAATAATAATAATAATAATGATGATGATTTTAAAAAATCCCTCCATGTTGAAACACTAGGAGCAAGTTTGACCAGAAAAAAGGCCTCATTCTGGATCTGAAAGGTCTGGTGGGCTGGTCTTCACAAAACTCTGGACTGGAATAAAATAAAATAAAAAATTGTCAAAAATCATTTTGGGCATACTAAAAGAAGAAAATGCCTTAAAAAAAAACTTCTGTAAAATAAATATTTTCCTTTTTTTTTTTTTTTTTTTTTTTTTGTAATTTTTTTTTTTTTTTTTTTTTTTACCCTGGAATGTAGTTTTTTTTAAAAAAGAAAAAAAATTACCTTAAAAAGGTTCAACAATTTTTTTAAATAATATTTATTTATTATTTTGCTGAGATAGCTCTTAAAGATACAGTGGAAAAACTATATTAATAAAGAACATTTTTAAGCAGTTAAATAAGGTGATTGATGTTTCCACGAAGGAACGTTAATTGTCATAAAGTTAAAGTGCAATACAATGGTTAAATAACGCATAGATTAAATACCAATGGTTTTATAACAGTAACTTTATTAACAAAAGTTACTAAACATCCTCCCAGTGAGAAAATCTAATTCAATTTCTTACAACAAAAAGGGAAGCAGGACATCTCAGAATGTCATCAATGAATCTTATTTGCTACAACTCAGTTTTAATTAGAAGTAGCAGGATGTGCTGCTCTATGCACCAACACTCCACTGCTATGCTGTGAAATAAATAGAGTCCAAAGTGTTTGAGTAAAAATATTTATTTTGACCTTGGTTAATTTCTATAAGCAGCCCATCCACCAACAGGTATAAGGCTGATCCTGTTCTATAGTTCCTCCACTCTTTCTACAGGATATAGGAGACAAAAGGAAACTAATCCCTTTTTGTCTGAATGTAACACAAGTTAAACATCCTGTTGCTTTTCAGACCAGGGGATTCTTTTCACTGCCTGCCTTTGAACACCGCTGTCAGACAGGGGCGAAAAATGAATGGATGCACAAGACAATAAAATGCCTTAACATGTCATTTCAATAAGGTCCAGTGGTCTGCAGGTAAAAGTATCCCCCCCTTCAACAAACCAAAGAATGTCACCGCTGACTGGTGTCTTTGTTGGGGAGTTCCTGTTTGCTGTTTGATGCCTGCAGGCTTCAGACAGAACATCAGCCGGCAACAGTCTGAATGATCTCACAAGCAATTTTGAGAATATATCTTCAACAATCTAACTAAAAATACATTTAGGTCTTTAAAGATAAAGAGAAAACCCTTGCACCTTCACAGCCAACAGATACTGTTCGGAGCTCAATGAGATTAACCTGTATAAATAAATAAAAAGTATTAACAAGGTATTTGAGTGCTTCTGTTTGTGTTCATTGCAAAGATGAGACCCAGGGTGTCACAAATTTAGCTTGAAAATAAAAATGTAAAACTGAAAAAAGTAACCAAACTCAAGTTAACATTGTTACATTTGTTACACAACCAGATGTCCTCCGAACTAGACACATCAAAATTACATCACAAAGACCCAACCTTGACAAATCACAGATGAAGTTCAGCTCAGCAACTGCGCTGAACGACAGATGCAAAAACTATTAGGAAAGGAAAAACTCACGTTTAACAGGACGAAAAAAAAATCAGAGATCTCAACAGGACACAATGTCCGAACACAAATCAGTTTCTGGCAACATTTTTAAAGCTGCTTCATCGGACACGGAATCAGAGGCAATAGTAGGAAAGATGGTGCGAATTTTCTCGCTAATTGAAATATTTTTATTTATAAAGAATCTCATGCAGTAATTACAACTTATGTGGTGAGCCATGTTTGCACTCTCTGAACATCTGTTTTTATTTGGCAAATATACTTTGTTGAACAAAGAAATGTTACTATTTTACTAGATATTTATAAGCGGCTTCAGCATCATTATACCAAATATATGCAGTGGACAGACAATATCTATATGCAGTAAGAACCAAATACTAATATGCTCATGTATTTTGTGGGTTAGTTGTACATATAACATACAATAAACAAAACCATGTTAATACAATCAACACAACGGAAATGTGCTTTTATTCTTTTTTTATGGTTTCTTTGGGTAGGTATTCAAACATGCATGTCCTCTGGTATCCATCATGGAGTGCTGCAGCACATTCCACACCCCTACTTCTCCTAGGGCTGTGTACAAAGATAAACCACCAACACATGAACCAGACACGATGTTCAAATATTAATTCAGAGACACCAAAAAGACCTCAAAAAACAAGAAACAATCAAAAAATCCTCCAGAACCTTTCTAGTGAGTTTTAGTTGTCAGACAGTCTTTCATCGAAACCCTCGGGCAGTTGGACCTTCTCCTGGGTTTTCCTCAGTTTCCCGCTCTGGGCAGACGTGTCCTTGTGTCCAGAGTCGTTCTGCTGCCTCGTGAAGCGCTTGCACTTGCAGGAGGTCACCACATTGATCTTGTATATCCTGGAGCTGCCATCGTGGCACTGCAGCTGGATCCGCTGGGTCCTGGATCGGTCTATGACGCAGCGCCAGTCAGGGGCATCACGACGGCTCCAGAACCTCTTGGTGAGACCACCAATCCCGATCCAGTTGGAGCCCAGATTAGCTGGCAGACACTCCCCGGCACACACCAGTTCTTTGATTGGGCTGATGCTGGTGCACTGACCATCAGAGATGTACTTTGTGGATCTGAGTTCCCGGCACTCCACCTGGCTCTGGTTCGGACCTGGAACAATAAGGAGTTCTGTTTAGGCTGTCTTTCTTTGTTTCCTTATTTGTTTGTTTGTTTGTTTCATTCTTTCTTTCTTCTCAGATCTTAGCCGACAACCAGTTTTAGAATCAAACTCAGTTTTAACAACCTTAAGTGACAAAGTTATATGGATGGTAAATGGTAAATGGACTGTACTTATATAGCGCCTTTCTATCTTATTGAGACACTCAAAGCGCTTTACACTACAATCTGTGTCCTCATTTACCCATTCATACAGCACTCTACATCTCTACAAAGCTAATTGAACAAATCATTCTAAAGAGACTAATCAGAGCTTTATCACATTCATACACTGATGGGACACACATCGGAGGCAACAAGAGGTTCAGTGTCTTGCCCAGGGACACTTCAGCATGTGACTGCTGTGGGGTTCGAACCCCCAACTTTTGCATTGGAGGACGACTGCTCTAACCACTCAGCCACAGCCACACAAAGTTATCTTCATATCATAATAATACAATATTAAATTAAACTATAAGAAATCAAAAACATGTTTTTAGAATGACACAATTATTTTATCTTGAATGCATTAATTTGAGTTAATTTTTAACTATTAAATTAGGCAATGTTATACTGGAGACTGCAATAAAGATTCTGCATAAAATTTATGTTCATGTTGTTGAACAGGACCCTGAGGTGAATTTTGTTATGAATTGGGGCCATCCATCTGTCCATCCATTCCTCCATCCTGCCATATATTCATCCATCCATCGATTCATCCATCATCTTTACCCGCTTCTTCCTTTTTTGGTGGCAGGGGTCACTGGTGCCCCTATCAAGCCATCACTGTGCAAGAGGGACACATGAGACAAATGAGACAAACAACCATTCACTCTCTCACTCAAATCTAAGGACAATTTAGATTTACCTATTAGCCAAACATGCATGTTTTTGGTCTGTGGGAGAAAACCGGAGTACCCAGAGAAAACCAACACATGCACGGAGAGAACATACAAACTCCACCCAGAAAGGCCCCCAGGCTGGGATTTGATCTGGGGACCTTCTCGCTGAGAGGCTTATTGGCTGAGAGGCTCTACCAACTGAACCACTGTGCCACTATAGGGTTATCATTCTTTCTTTCTTTTTTTCTTCTTCTTCTTTTGGCTGCTCCCTGCGTTAGGGGTCGCCACAGCGAATTAAGTAGCACGAAGACTTGGCAGTTATTTTTACGCCGGATGCCCTTCCTGACGCAACCACAGAACACCAAGCTACCACAGCCCTCTGTGTGGAGCAGAGAGCTGCTATCTAGGACAT